CGTTGTGTACTTAATGTTTTGTAGGATGATCTAAAACAGTTGATGCAATGTTATACTCTGTTTGTGTATTAACGTTGTGTACTTCATGTTTTGTAGGATGATCTAAAACAGTTGATGCAATGTTATACTCTGTTTGTGTATTAACGCTGTGTACTTCTTCATGTTTTGTAGGATGATCTAAAACAGTTGATGCAATGTTATACTCTGTTTGTGTATTAACGTTGTGTACTTCTTCATGTTTTGTAGGATGATCTAAAACAGTTGATGCAATCTCCTTTTGACAGCTGTCATTCTACTGCCTTTCACTTGGTTTTATATCATTTGAAGACTAAACCTGGGTAAGTTTCATACAGTGTAGTTACAATAGGCTCAACATCACATTCAACTACCAGAAATATAATTTTCCTTGTACTTACCCTAGATACAAGTTTGTTATAAAGTTCTTTAAACCTTTATGATTTACTGCCATAACTCATTAGTAACAAAATAATTTAAAAGTAATTATTTATATTTTATTTGTATTCAGGTGTTGCAAGCAGTATCTATCGGCATTTCTGCAGTGTTTGGAAAGTAAACATCCAAATGTGGTACTAACGGCTGTGGAATGCCTTCCAGAGTTTGTTGTTCTTGCTCAAGGTCAGTTGATATGAAACTTAACAGTGGTCTTCCTCCAAAGTTTTATAAATTTTGAGGAGACAGTAACTGTATTATCATCTGTGATATAACATTATTGCTTTTATAATTTAACTGGAAACCATATCAAGACAAGGGATATAAAACATGACTTTATTGGGTAGATAGAGGAATCAATACTTGATTGATAATATGAAAGAAACATAACATAGTACAATGTCTACAAATTAGTTTATTGCTCTTACATAATGTTGTAACTGTCATAGACGTTTTAGCTACATTCTAGTCAAATATCTTTATGTAGTTTGTCATAGATGTTTTGGTTACATTCTAGTCAAATATCTGTATATAGTTTGTCATAGATGTTTTGGTTACATTCTAGTCAAATATCTGTATGTAGTTTGTCATAGATGTTTTGGTTACATTCTAGTCAAATATATGTATATATAGTTTGTGATAGATGTTTTGGTTACATTATAGTCAAATATCTATATATAGTTTGTCATAGATGTTTTGGTTACATTCTAGTCAAATATCTGTATACAGTTTGTCATAGATGTTTTAGCTACATTCTAGTCAAATATCTGTATATAGTTTGTCATACATGTTTTGGTTACATTATAGTCAAATATCTGTATATAGTTTGTCATACATGTTTTGGTTACATTATAGTCAAATATCTATATATAGTT